ATGTTATTCCAGACCATAACCTGCATTCAAATGCTTGACTTTTTGTGACAGCTTTCAAACATAGTTGTAACTTGTATAATCATATCAATTGTTCATGAGGACTGTACCAATGTCAGTGCTGATAATTAAGATTAAATGTCCTCATCAGATAAAGCCTGAATAATAAATGATAATGCATAATGAACAGGATTGGTCTGAGTAAACATCTGCCAAGGATGAAAGTTCCCTCCACCCTGTGCATGAACTGAGTGTCGGGATCAACAATGAGTTTATATCTAGATGGGGGTTTTTTTGAGCCTCATGACGATATCTGATGATATCTGCCAGTTTTTCTTATTTCAGTAACAAATCTAAAGTAGTTGTGAAGATATGATGCAATTTTGCTCCATCTAAAACAGTAGAAACCTTTTCCAAATATTTTGTATGTGTGGACCAAGTAACACCTAATGCAAAAACATTTCATGCAAATCCAGCAATAGCTTTTGTATTATACTGCAAATAAACAGAAAAACTGAACCAACTGCAAAAGCTACTTGCTAGATTTTTGTGGTCAGGTATTTAACAAAACCATAGTATAAATAGAAAAAAAATAACAAAAACATTTTAAACATCTACCTGAACTTGGTGCCTGTCCATGTATGAGAGTCGGTGGTTTTAAACGGAACCCCACGGGCTTCTCCTCTGGTGTAACAAACCACAAAAAGAAGCAAAAGTTCAAAAAAACATATTCAGGTATTGCACAACAACCTAATGTGAGCATGCTCTTCTGTCTTTGCAAATTTTGTAACCACAGAGCCAGTTACCACAGCAACCCTTGTACAGCCTTAAGAGTTGTGTTGGAATCTCAGTAACATGGCGGGCTCTAGGGCCTTTGATCTATTTCTACCTCCGTCTCTTCATCTCAGTGGCTTTATTGGGATACCATCAAGTAATTAGCACTAGAACAGAAACCCAAAAGCACATGCGAAAAGCCACATCCTGTTTGTCCTCAGCGTTTAGGAGACCCTTCCAGTGTGCATAAATGTGTGAAGCTTAGATTGCACATATGCTAAAGAAAAACATTTTCAATCTAATTATAAGAAGTATTTGGATAATTAAATATAAATGAACGTGAATATCTTTCAACATTTTTAATAACCAGCAACTCTCAGGACATGCATGCAAACAATGAAGAAAAAAACCACACAAGCAATAAAAGCACTATAAACATTTTAAATGCAACTAAAATAACCAAACTTCCAGCACATAGTGTAGTTCTGCGTCCCTATTAACAACATTTTTTGGGTCTGTTCATCATTATTTTTACTTTCATATACGCACATTATGTAACATGCTTCAGGCAGTTATTAACTACAGCCTGTTTGTTTGCTCAAGTGGAAGTCCTCTCCGTAAATCTGTTGACTAGTGAGTCAAACCTCTACGTCACTTTTCAATTGAGCTCAAGCCATTAAAGCAAAAAAAAAAAGAAAAGAAAAGAAAAAGATTGGGTCACTTTTATCTTTGATAAGAGATGGGATTTAAAAAATCCATAAAAATCACACTTCCTTATTCTCCCTTAAAGTGCTTCTGCAATAATAATTTCATATCCCTATTAACTAGTCAGTATTTTTCATAATGATATTTTCCCCCATTTTGACTCGTCTTACCAGTGTAATATGACCTTGATGAAAGTGATTCAACAAATTAAAGTATGAACGGCTACTCGGCAAATGACTGATTAAGCTGAGCTTCACAAATTTAACAAAATCATTTAACATCTAAAGTGATACAACAAATTTACTGGTCAGACGTCCTATAAATATAATACTTTGGCAGGAAAACCAGACACAGACGAGTGCTGCTGAGTTCAAAGCAAAGTTACCACAAGATAATTATTTACAAGCTTCGTGTTAGAGATATGCTACTGATAAACAATGTTGTTAATCCAGCTTCACCCTAACTTCCTCTCCTTACAGTTACTGTTTAATTTCTTATTTAACAAATATGCATATGTTTTTGTTCCCATTAGCCTAATTTATGTCAACTAATATAACTACTTTTTTGGCCCTGTAGATTTCCTGTGCAAATGAACAACAGATACATAAACTGCAAATGAAAATTGTTTTTTTTTTTTTTTTTTGGGGGGGGGGTTACATGGCTTTTTAACTTAACAAAAGGGCATAAACAACATAAAAAAAATGACAAATTTTAGTTTGACACAAACACACCTCTAAACCTGGCAAGGAGCTTTCACAAGCAAGGTCATGAAGCGGAAACCTTTAAAGTTTAAAGCCCAACTTACCCTAACCTACCAGCTGCAGCTTATTTCGAATTTCAGGTTATATTTTATAAATTTGCAAAGAAAGAAATACTTCAGTTACAAAGAAGGATCTAGTGTGGGAACAGCTATTATATCCAAGTCATACTGTATTCATAGAAAGACATTTCAGTTGGTCGCAAATGCGATCAAATTTTTCAGTGGTGTGACTAAAAATAAATATTTGGTCGCACAGGTGCGACCAACTGTTCGGGTAACAAACAAAAAAAAAAAATCTCTGCAACTCTCCGTGTGGTCAATAGCAGACACACATTATGCCCCTATCGTGGACTAAACCAATCAGAGATAGTCAGGGGCGGGACCTCTCTGATTGGCCGTGGTCCATTTGAAAGTGCAGGTGGAAGAGAGAAGTGAGTAGCTTGAATAAAGCGATATCGATTCATTAACGGATTCCACACAAAGACGTAAACACAGAGCGGACCCGACGCATCAGAATCAGCTTTGTTTTTCTTGGCTTTCTCACCCGACGGCCCGAACACGGACACGCTGTCGGAGCTTAGCAATTCTGATGCGTCGGGTCTGTGTTTACGTCTTTTTTGCGCTGATTCTGAGCTGCAGGTTTTGTCTCTCTCCAACCAAAATTCGCCGAGCCAGCAGCAAAAGAAGCAGCAAACTGCGCTTCACATTTGATCAATGTCGTCATGAATTCCCTCTGACTTCTGCTGTTTTGCTTCCACCACGATAAAAATCATACTTCCTGCACAGCTCTCTCTGTGTGTGTGTGTGTGTACTTCAGGAACAGTTTCCCGTCTCAAATCTCTGTTTTCTGCATTATTCATTCGCTTATTACCCACCAGTCTACCGTTGTTTACAGCGCTGTCTTTTTCTTTTTTCACTTAAATGACCTCGGACAAGAAAGCCTAATTTCTGCTGTTCAATACTGAAGAAATTTAAACTTCTTAAAATTATGCGAAATTGCAGAATATTGCAGAATATTTTAAGGTTATCTGCTATAAAAAACCAGACCAGGAAAATCTCCTTCATGTTTTTCACACAAAGGCATCTGCTGTGATGTTCACAATTTTGATAAAGTCTCACATGTATCAGTACTGATAAATGATCAGAATTATAATATTTCTGACTGTCTGAGGCTAAATTGTACCAAATCAGGACTTTGAGAACCGGAATCGAATGGATCATAGAAATCAGTGATGATACCCAGCCCTAGTGAGCAGCCTAGGCCTGAGAGAAGTGGATGTAGCTGTGGGTAATATGAAAAGATGAAAAGAACGATTGATAACTTTTTTGTTAAGTTAAGGCCTGATCTGTCTGAAATTCATAGCCAGTGCTCTGACACAGTGCCATCAATCTTTGAACGCTGAAAAAGCACAGTGTATCCAGGAAACATATTACATGCTGCAATAAATGCACTGCCCAAGTGTCCCCTCTCCCCACTGCCTTTCAGCAACAGACAGCAGCAAACAGGTCGTCAGAGGAGGCCAAGATGATGATTAAGTTTAACATTTTCTACGATATTGACAAAGCACTTTAAGCACAAGTTTGTTAGTTAATAATTTAGAAATGAATATTGTCTGTATGGACTTCCCCCCCAAAGAAAGTGCACATGTAAAACTGCGGTGTTAAGCAATGCGGTTGAAAAATTTGAGTGCGCCTAACTTTTGTGCCGGTACGCCTAAATTTTTAAAGTTAGGCGTACCGGTGCGCCCATGTCAAAAAGTTAGTCTAGAGCCCTGCACCTAAGACGGCGCTAAATAAACTAGCTTTTAATACCCAATAAGCTAGTCCTTTGTAGCAGTGGCACTACGAAAATTGCTGTCAGCTATCACCACATGACACTAGGAAATCATAATAACAAACCCTATGTATTTACTAATGTTAACCTTAACTCTGCCTTTTTCAAATTCAAGCATCATACATTTGTTTTCCAGTTGAATCTGGCAGTTCAGAGCTATATTATATGCAGGCAGGATCACAAGCGACTCAAGGCCATATTGTTCTTATAACTTAAAAGAAAAACGAATTCTCTGTATTACTGAAGGTTTTGAGAGGGTGGCGAATTACAAGATATAGAAAAAGACTTCTCCCTGCTTGGTATACTGAACGGTCTTTGTGCAACACATGACACAAACTGACAGATCTTTGGAGCAGTGAGAGCCAAATGAGAAATGAGCAAGGAGAAGTGAAATCTCAAACCAGACTAAATACAAAGACTTACATTTAAACCAAACAAAAACAAGATGC